GGGTGTACTCATAGTCGTGCATGCCGTAGTCGTTAGACCATTGACCTCGCATCCCTACAAAGCCGGGACGGAGCATGCCGGGTTCTCACCGGACCAGGGGGGGGGGATAGGCTAAAAGAAATTCAATCCGGCACGTATCGCGTCACTCGGTCCGTCTCTTCTCGTTTGCTTTCTTCCCTCGCCGTCTCGTCCGTCTCCTGCCCCCCTCCCGCCCCATTGGTTGGTGGCTTGTGGTTTCGTTTGAGCGCCCGTTGTCGGCTGGCCTCTTTTCCTTCTCGTGCCAGGAGGTCATGAACCTCTCAGCTCCGAGACAACATGGATCGGTTTTCGTAGATCCGTGGTCGGCCCCGAATGCCTTCAGGTCGTCGAGCACACACTTGGGCCAGTTCTGTTCCTGTCCCCCCCTACGTCGCTTCTCCCCCCCTGCCAGTTCTTCAAACATCAGTCGTTTCGGGAGTCGCCCGTCCGGCTGCCTTGCCAATGCTCCCGCGAACAGTAGGCGTCGTTGTCGGATCGTGGCTTCAACGCTCTGGCATTCGACCATCTTCAGCGCCTGGACGTAAGAGTATGCTCGTGCCTGATATTACCCCCTTGGAAGGGATGCATTGAACGAACTGCTGTGAAGTCTTTCGGGATTGGTGGTTGCGGGATCGCTATTTTTTTTTCACATCGAACAATGAAGAAGCGATGCGTCAGGACTTGGTTTAGGGGGAAAGCGTTTTTGGTGCCCACCCTAAGGACGTGGAGGCTCTTCATGTAAGGTGGAGGTGCTCTTACGCTTACTAAAACAGGTGTTTTCGGTTGTTGGCTGGAAGCACCCATAACGTCAGGCAGGTAATGTTCACAGCTTTTTAGCGCATCAGCGCCTACGTGTCTACAAGAGCCAAAGCTGGTTGCGCAGCTTGTTTCAAGCAGCAGCTGCTCTTGGTGCGTTGGTGCCAGAAAAGAAAAAAAAACACCAAGAGGCACACAGAAAACAGCTTGTTTCTTTTCGAGTATAACCTAATTGCGGGCAGAAAATCTATTCCTCCGTAAAGCTTTTAGGCCGCCAATGTTTTCATTTGTACCAGCTGATCTGTACGAAGAAGTTATGACAATCTTTAAAGATCCGGCTGTTCGCCAAAGATCCGGCTGCTTCACCGAGCGACACTCGCACGGGCGCACTGCACGCATCTGTCCACTACTGCTGTATCCTCCGCCCCTCCCCCCCTCTTTTGCCTACTGCTGTATGCATAGGTACAAACCGGAACCTCTTCGGGAAAGAGAGAAATTTACCCCCCAATCTACAGCGGTAGTAGACTGACGATCGAAGATGCGGCTGTTCCGCCGAACGACACATACACCGGCGCGCACGCACGCATCCATCCACCGCCCCCCGCCCCCCCCCACTGTAGGTGTACCCCTCAACTGCGTATGATACGTTTGTATGCAGATGCTTGTAGCCTGTCGTTTTTCGTTGTTTGTTTGTCTCATGCGGAGATTACCGTATAATAAGGATGCGGGTCTTGGCACACTGCTGTGCGATCTGTTCTTTTCTTTTCAACTCATCCCAGATTTTTATCGTACAGGGGGTGTCAAGACACCGATGCATGACCGATGAACCCGATACCTCTGCGGAGAATATGAAAAAAGTATGCATACGGTGAAATAAATACATACCAAATCCGAGGCGGAAAAATACCTCCGACACAAAGGTACATTCATGTGCTCACACACACCACAATCGCAAGCAACACGTTGGCTACGATGTTCTTCCCGGTATGCTACCAGTTCTTCGTTATCTACATGGTCGTTGGTTTGTGTTCGGTCTCGGTGTTGCTGTGTACGCGTTCTTGGTTGATCGAGTGGATACCGTTTGCCGATTTCGACAACAAGCAGCAACAACATTGAACAACAAGGATGCGCTAGAAATACCACAACATGACTTGCACATGAGCAACGTCACGGACGGTACCGATGCACGCAGCCGTGGAGCCCATGATGCAAGCTCCAGTGGTGCAGAAGTTTCCCCGCGAAAAATGCTGGACACCGCTCGTGGTATCGGTCGCCCATCCTCACCGAAGGTGTCGGGGGTCTCCGCACACAACTGCTGCTGTGCGAGGCGAATGATACCTTGTGCGATGATCAATCAACTGAACCCCTTGGAACCCCGATTTGTTTCGGCACCCCCTGTTGCCAACTTGACCCCCGACACTGTACGAGGACCCGAATTCTTACGGTAGACGATCTACCACAAGTTGATATTTTCTTCTGTTTTGTTCCCTTCCCGGGCTTTCCTCCAGACGGCCGCTCAGGGGGGGCCGGGCACGACCGGTGACGACAGTGCCGGCACAAGCAAAGCGGACAGGAACGGCAAGTGGGGGCGTCGCAGCGGCGGCGGCAAGCCGGCGGAGCGAGACCAGTTCCGCGTTCAGCAGCAGGGGTTTTACGTCAGGGGTGACCTGACCGTCGATGTGTTTCAGGCGCGAGGCCTGCGCCTGGGGAGTGCCACCGAGAGGTGAGTTTCGGACGAGGGGGCGGCGTACATGAGATGCAGTAGGGGGGGGGGGGGNGGGGGGGGGGGGGGGGGGGGGGGGGGGGGGGGGGGGGGGGGGGGGCATAGTAGTCAGTCGCGCAAAGAATGTTTTGCCTAGTGTGAAATACCAGGTACCTAACAGTCAAGGGGACGGATACCTATGGTAGGCGGATCGTTGCTAACATTCTATTTCCCCTTTGGTAGTTCGTTTGACACTCTTTGCCTCTGCCCCCCCCTCTCCTCTCTTTTGTGACTGCCGTACCCTCAGGCACCCGTACTGCGTCGTGTTGGTGGACCGAGTGAAGGTCGGAGAGACCCCGACAGCATCCAAGACAGTGTCGCCGGTACGTACATCGTCTTTCATCTTTTCTCCCTCCATCTCTCCTTCTCCTCGGTGTCTCTCTGTCTGTCTCTTGTCTCCACCGTAGATAGGCTCGCCTTCTAGGTAGATGTCCTCGAATGTGGTACATTGAACGCACGGGAACAAGTACAGCAAGATAATGATGACGTTATCAGCTTGCCATGTGGCCGGAGGGAGGTCGACATCGATACGTTCAACAGGGTTGTCGTGGCTCTATTATTGTGCGGCCGTCGTTGTAAACCGTCGAAAACGTCGAAAAGGAGGGTCTGAAGGGGGGGGGGGGGGGGGGGGG